GCCACTCGGCCGGCCCTTAGGATGTTGTATTTTTGAAGACAGGACTTTTCTTTTAACTTTTTATGCCCAGAGCTGGCCCAGAGCCCAGCATACTGGAAGGGCTCAATCTGTATTTTTCAGTGACTGAATAATAAATAGATCTATAATAATCAAGCACAATATGTTTCAGTAAACATCTCAACAGTATGTCTCTAAGAATAACTTTTTCTAATAGTTAACTTTAATCTTTATATGAACATAACACAAACATATTCCCTGCCAACTTTATAATTTAAACATCTTTCTTTAAAGATGGAATGTTTAACTTCTTTTTTAACCAGCGAGCCAGCCTATAAATAATCCATACAAAATAATCAGAATGCCCCAAAATACATACTAATTAGAACTTTATCTAGGTATTAAGCATACATAGGCAAACAAAAACTCCCTACTCTCATGGAACTTACATTCTAGTGGGGGAGATAAGCAATATAAAAATTATGTCAGCTGATTAATAAAAATAAAACAAGATAACAGGGTAATTAGGGAGAGTTTGTTCAATTAGGGTCAGGGAAGGCCTTCCTGATAAGGGGACACTTGAGCAAAGATGTAGAGAAAGTTAGGGTTGTAGGCATGTGGACAACTGGGAAGGGCATCTCAGATAGAGGAACAGCAAGTACAGCAGCCCCGAGGTGGGAGTGAGCCTGGGATTTTGGAGAACTACAGGGAAACAGTAAGGCCAGAGCAATGAGAGATGGGGAGAGTTATAAGATGTGAGGTCAGACGAAGAGCAAGGGTCAGATCTCGTGGAGCCCTCTAGGTCATAGCAAAGACTTTGTATTTTATTCTCAATGAAATGGGGAGCTCTGGGAGGGTTGAGAACTGAAGAGGGACTTCTGTTTTAAATGGTCATTCTAGCTGTTACATAGGAAGCCAGCCAGTAAGAAGGCAGTTGCAACAATCCAAGTGAGAGATGATGGTGGCTTGGACCAGAGTTGTAGTGGAGGGGACAATGAGAAATACTCAGATTCTGATATATTTTTAAAGTAACATTAAAAGAATTTTAGTGTGGAGTGTGAAAGGAATTGATGAGTCCAAGAATG